TGTAGAAAGACTTCCCCTCCTTCTCTCCCCTGGCTGGTTATCATGGTGGGGGGGAAAAGGGGTGAAGTCTCAAAACCACAGCATAGCTTATTCTAACCATATGTTCTTAAATTGCATTTTCTTCCTACTTACCCCTTCCTCTATTCCTCTTCCCATGTTTTCCCTGTATCAATTTTTCAGTTCTTAACTTGGAAGAAGTTGTCTTATATTCTCTAGGGTAGTATAAACTATACATTGTATAAAGGAGTTGTAGAGCCAGGAGATTTGTGAATTAGGTTAACAATGATAATATTAAAGTTATGCAAATATAGTTGCATATAAAATACTGTAATTTTTTTTTTTTTTTTTACATAGCAAGCACCTTAAAAATAGATTAACAAGGATCTGTGAGAGTAAGGCTCAAAGAACACCATCAGGATAGTTATTGCATGGTAAAGTCTAACACCTGCAGAATAAAATCACAGGACACATTTGGGTGTTACTACAACCCCATTGCTGGATTTATAACACTATGACAGTAAACCTTAAACTCTGATTAACGAATTGCTATGTTCACATAACAAGATATGTCCAAACATATTATGATTTAAGGTGATCACCCAGTTCATACAACAGGCCATGCCTGGATTCCCATATGTTGAACTAGGATCTACCCAATCCTAGTTAAGTCTACTTTGGCTAGGTTCCACTAAATTCTTATATTCTGCACCACCATATAGGAACAATAACAATAACAACAACTTAAATTTCTTACATTAGCTTTATTTAAAACACAAATACTTCATTTTGTTGAACTGCTTAAACATCTGGTTCAGATACAATGATTTAAATAGAAAGATGTACAGAAAAAAATTGAGTATGTAAAAACTCAGGGTGAAATTCTCTTATGCAGAAGAGAGAAAAGGGAAGAAAACTGACCTCAAACAGAAGATTCTGCTTAAGCAAACTAGAACACCTGCAACAACATGGAAAAATCTTTCACAGTCTCAAATGCCTGTTACTTTCCATTTACATTCAGCTAGAAGTTCTATTGCCCTTCAGTTTGCTGAAGAATTATTTCCAACTTCTTGGGAGCAATTTGAAGACAAACAGTTCATTCAGGATAGCCAGTTTTAAATATTTAAAAGTAAGTCTTTTTGTGCCTTTTTCCCCCCTAAAGGCAATGCTTCAAACTGAATTGGCAAAGCGCAGCTTTTTTTCCCCCTGCCTGTTAAGCTAAATGTATTTACATTAGAATCAGGAAACTGCCCTTCTACCCACCCTGGGGCTAGGAATATAAACAAAAACACATCCTGCACTATTTCTTAACTCGTAAGTTGTAAGTGGTAGGACTGGGGTAATTAAACTAATTAGAAACAAGAATATTAAGACTAATGGAAAAAATGATTATACAAAATACCGAGACAAGAATTGCAGGATAAACAATATTCCCATGTCTTCACTTGGCCACAGCTGAGCCCATGCGAAAATCCCCAACGCACAACTCAGACGGAAATGTGGCTGAAAATGTTGCTATGGAAAGTTCGTAAGTGGGCAACTAAAAAGCCAGAGGGTCTGGCAGAGATGTCTGCATCTGTAGAAACAAGCTCTCCAACTGTTTAAGCTGTCAGAGGGCAACATTCCCAAGATTGGCTTAAAATGACCCATGCAGTGCCAGCAGAACTGGCCATCATGTTCTCCGTTTAAGGAAAAGAAAAAAGAAACTTTGAATAAATTTTGCACATGCTTTCAGGACAAGTTTTTAATTATTTCTTAAACGAATAAATTAGAAAGGGAGTTCAACTTTTCCCCCATGTATTTCTATGTGCCATGTAAAACCAGTCAAAATGGCATACGATGAGTGGGATGAGAATAAAATGTGCTGTTCCATCTTCGATATAAATGTTGCTTCACTTTCAACAGTATAAGGGTGGAAGTTCCACCTGTAGTAGGTTTGGTCCAAGTTTACTTTCCCTTCCTCTGTATTATAAATGGTTCTGCTCTTCTTAGAATTTCTTTAAAAATTACATAACTCAAGAGGTGACTCAAAAATACAGAAATTACCCCAAAAAGCAAAAGGAAACATCTGAAACACAGATGTTACTAGCTTTGCCACACAGCTGACAAACAGATATGACAATTCAGTAGAAAATATGTGATGAAGAAGAGTTGCTGGAGCAAGTTAGCCCTGTTCAGAACTGTGAATAGTCTTGGATCTTCTCTAGCTGAAATGTTCATGGTTTCATTCTGAAAATATTTAAAGTGGGCAGGAACAATAGTTGGGACATATCTCTGACCAGCAGGGTAATTCAAGATAAAGTAACGCAGCCAAGTTCCTCAAGCAGTTTCAAGTGTGCTTTAAGACTTGTCATATCTCCTCTACTAGAAAGGGTAATCTTTGTTATCCAACAAAATATACAGCTTTTATTTTCTCTCAAAAAGAAGCTATGTGGCACAATCAACTGTCAATCATTTCAGAAAGTTCAAGCAGGAGCTCATCCTCATCTTTTCCTGTATCTAGATCAATCTCTGCTTCCAATTTGCCTTCTGAGATTTCCCAAATCAGCTTCTCAAAGTCATCTTCAACTGAGGATGGAGTCTTCCCAGTTCCTGTTGAGCTCAGTCTGCGAGCCTTCACTACTGCTGCACGGGAGGAACTTGGGCTTGCTATCTCTGCCTGCAACGTGGAAGCTACCTGGTTTTCCATGTCCAGCTCAGAGCTTCATAAAGAGGAGAAAAAACAAAACTATTATACATCTCCAGGTGGAAAACAGACATCACGTGTACACCCTTGCAGAACTTTCGGTTCTAGTAAAATGGTGTGGGGCTGAACCATGGACATAAGTTAACTATAGGCAGAATGGAGGTAGGTAAAGTAGAAATTATGTTGTGGTAATATCTGGGCCATATAACAAGCCCAGGATGTGCAGGCTAGCAGGAAAGAAGAGGCCTATCTTTCACAGTATGTACTAAAGGATTGGACTTATTCTATCTTGCCCCAGAACCAATGTGTCAAAACTGCAAGGAGGTAGTTCAGGCTAGAAGTTAGGAAGAACTTTCTAGCATATGAGTGGAACAGGCTGTCACATGAAATAGTGAGTTCTCCTTTGTTGGAGGTCTTCAAACAGAGGCTCGATGGTCATCTGTCAGAAATCCTCTACCAGATTCTGTACTGAAGAGGTTTGGATAGATGACCTCTAAGGTACCTTCTAACTCCATGAATCTACAAAAGTGCTGTTAGATACTTACTGCAATATTGGCAGTAAACAGTTCCTATGGATATTTTTCCACTACAAAGCCTTCTGCTTGCTTTTAAATGTACATATTAATTTAAATTGAGCAGTATATATAATACAAACAAAGATTAGATCGCTGTGGGGCATATCAGCTATATTAAAAACACCATACCATCTTGTGGCACTTTAAAAGTCTAATACAATTACTTCATTATAAGACTTCATTAGTAATAGTCTACTTCAGATACAGAAGGCTAAACTGCAAACGTAGATTCCAAATTAAGCAACTATGATAGCACAGGATTTTTATTTATGTTGCAGTACAACTGGTAAAACATGACTAATGTTTTTAATCACAGATAACATACAAATTACAGCAAAAACAAATACATGTTGTGTTGATTTGGGAATCCTACAAGCTTAGTAACAAACTTTTATCATTTAAACTGTGTTACCTGCAAACCCACATTGCATTTTCAAAAATATCAGCAAGTTGGATTTCAAAACCCACTGTAAGAAATATCTATAGAGTATGATGCTCTCTGATCTACAGCCAGATTTGAAGGAACATTTAAGTTTTGTTTTATCATGATGACTGAACAGAAATCACTAAGAGGAAACCTGTTAGTTATTTATATTTGATTTTTTAAAATGTAGTTAATTGTGATATATTAAAGATATTTCTTTGACAAATACTTTCGGAGTTAGCAACTATGTACTTGAAATTTCAAACTGAATATATTAAGGTTCTTATAGAATTTTTCTTTAACCTGCTTCCATTGGCTATTACCCAGATACCTATTCATAAATGTGAAGGGAAAGAACATAAAATATCATATGATCTAATTTATGGTAAGTAAACATTCCACTTGCCCTGCTGTTCTATGAGAAAATTCCAATGATGTGCAATATGACTATAAAGAAATAATAATAATTAATTACCTGTTATAATCCACTCTCTTAGGAATAGTGGTTATACTGTCCTTTGAAAGATCTGGGGTGCTTCCCTAAGAAAAGAAAGAGAAAAATAAACTCAGTCAGGTTCACTATCGCCTCAGTTATTTTATTCCTGGACTTCCATTCCATTGTTCTTTTTTTTACGCAAAATAATTCATCTTCTGTCAATATAAATGTAGAACTCTCTGAAGATGTTTAGATCAAAAAGTGCTCTCTCCCACCTCATAAATTGTTACTTGTCTTATAAGATGGAAAAGCACATATAAAACAGTCCAGTGACCTCAGTCATCACAGAATTTTGGTAGCGCAATCTAATAGCGCAAATCTGTTTTCTTACCAGAGCTGTGTTTTCAGAAGCGAACTCTTTCATTTCCGTGTTTGTGATAGGGCTCAGAGGCTTCACTGCAGCAACAACAGAGGGATGACTCTCCAATACTTTTCGCTTCAGTGCCTGCTTTGCTGGAGAAATGGGTTTCACTCCAGATGGTTTCACATTCATCTTGGGTTTGACTGGAATATAAAAGCAATCCAGTGAGAATGGAGTGGTAACCTCTCTGTTGACATTGCCCAAGATGTTTGGAAAAACACTTCTCCTTAGAAGAGATTTATTTTCATCAATGCGAAATTTATAATGTATGAAAATACTTAAATTGCATTTCTAGAATGATGACAAAATACCACATAAGTGTTCTTCCCACACTTCAGTGCTTTGACTATACAAAAAGGAGTTACAAAAAAACTGCTGTATCCTGGAGAGAAAGTAAGACTAGAATCGTCTCATCATAGAGGCAGAGCTCCTCACTGGGGAGTAGCAACAGCTCTCTGCCTACTGAAAAGGGGAAACTTCTGTAACTAAGGACTTCTGAGAACTGAAGATTTTGCTCTGATCCGTTAACACTATCAATTAGTGTTTCTTAACCGTGGCAACTTTAAGACCTGTGGACTTCAACCCCCAGAATTCCACTTGCTAGCTGGAGAATTCTGGGAGTTGAAGTCCACAGGTTTTAAAGTTGTCAAGGTTAAGAAACACTGCTATAGATGCTTGAACACTTGTCTCAGCAATATGGGTCTTGTATATACCTGAAGCAAAGCTGAAATGTGGAGCAGACTGGTATCATCCAAGACATAATAAAGTTCTACTTCCCACAGGCATCAAAGTAGGGCTATAACCAATACTATTTTTGAAACAATCAAAATACACAGATCCATGAATAGAAGAAAAAAGTTCCAGATTCTTTACCGATTCCAGAATATGTACAACAGTATTTTGCTTGTTTCCATGGATCTAACACATGAGAGAATGTCTCCCAAGTCAAGTAATCGCTGACAACTGCTAGGATTACTACTGATTTTTCCTTATGCCCAAGGAGTACTAAGAAAAGGGATTAAAATATGCAGCTTGCCATTATCTCACAAAGTTGATGAATACTCAAGTATAAGTTGCAGATCAGAAATCTTTTCAAGTTTAAAAACAAGGAACTATTCAGGAAAGAGAACTTTACCCTTAGTCCTTGGTTCTGTGGTTTGAGGGGAAACTCTCAACTCTTCCAATGTTACCTCCTGGGATCTCACCAACAATCTTTTTGGAAGTGGACGGGTTTTCCCTGTAGTCACTGGGGATTCTGGATTTGTAGTCAGTTCTGGGATCTTGCCTTCTGCTATTTCTTCCCCAGCAAGTGGCACAGTCATTTGCTGTTCCTGGGGCTTTTCCTCCTGTTGTTGCTGCCGCTTTAACCGTTGTTTCTCCTTCCTTATTTCTTCTAAGCTCTTCACATAGACTTTAGAATGTGAATTACTCACACTGTCATTCAGAGGCTGCATAAATACAAGAGAGATATTTTTTAAAAAGCAAATGTTCAATAAGAAACAATGTAAGCCCTCTGAAAAGTGTACACTCTCTCTTATCACGGAACCAAAAACAAATCAAAACTTTTATTATGTTTTTTAGGCCAGAGAACATAATTCAACCTACATTTTTTGGTGTTATGCATATTCCATTCCTTTTTACTTAAAAACACAATCTATGGCAACAGCACATAAGTTTTGCTTCTTGGTAGAAGCCTAAAGCCAGAGAAAATTGCAGTGCAACTGCAGTGAAGATCAGTTTCCTACTTAACTAAAGTTCAGTTCATATTAAACACTTAAATATTTTATCTCCACTAACAGTACTTTTATGCTTTATAATCAGTGGTCTATTTGGTAGCATGACCTGCCATCTGTAATATGCTGCACATGTTGGTTATTATTCACAATAATGGGATGTAAATGAGCTTAGTAGAATAAGAATAGTGTTTATTTTATCATGTCAAATACTCCTAAGTAAAATACTGGATGACAGTTTCCAAAGATGCTACTTAAAAAGTGAGAAAGGAATATGCATACTCACAAAAGCTCTCTTCTTACAATACAATGAAGCTCACCTTTGCAGCAATGTCTGCAGTAGAAGCTTTTGGAGAAGACCTCAATACCAGGGTTTTTTCTTCTTTTTCTGGGGCTGTTGAAACATCACAGTGAAAATTCTGAAAAGAACTACATCACCACCACCAGCTGTGTACTAACTTGTTTGGAATACTACATTCCAAACCCAGGATGTAGGACAGTGACAATCTCTGAGTGCTCAGGAGCAGCAGCTTAGCTCCCCACCCCTTCGGAAGGTTGCAGGAGAAGAGTCACAGATGCAGTGATGTCACTATAAGTAGCATAACCAGTATTTTCAGCCTGCTTGTTGGCTTTGGAGGCTTTTCATGGGTAGGAATGGGAGATGGGCTTCTTGGAGGTAAATGGCTATTATTCCCCCCATTAATTCCCACCTTTAAAAAGCCCCAAATTGAACTGTTCTGTTTTGCTACCAAATTCCCATCTTGGTGTCCTGGAGGTCTGCAAATAAGATTTGGGGGCAGGAGGAGCTGTATATGGCTTATGGAGCCCAGACCTCATACATGGAAGAGCAAGTAATTTCTTTTACTGTTCAACTAACTTTCCCATGTTTTTGAAGTCAAGAAGCATAATAATATTACTTTGGAATTTTTCTACCCACCTCTGTATAGTGTGGTAAAAGTTTGTGACCCCTTTAGAACTATCCATAATCCTATAGTACTATGATCTACAAGATGATCTGAGCTTTAGCTAAGTCCTATTAACAGATAAAGAGATTCTGGATAGACAATCCACAGCATACTGTGTCATAATTGAACATGCTTCATTATCTTTATTGGAAAAAGTATCTGAACCATTAGGTGTCATCTTTTTTAGCCGAAATTATTTTAACCTGTTGATCAATCTCACACTTGGCTTGAGGGCATTTTGGACCACTTTTCCCTACAGAACTGCCTCAACTTGATATCTTGGAGCTGTCTTATCTGGAACTGTTCACTTTAGTCATGTAACAACATTTCAGCTGGGTTAAAGCTCAGATTTCAATTTGGCCATTTTGAAATGTGATTTTTTTTTCTGCTTCAGACATTCTGTTGTAAATTTACTTGTTTAGGAGCACAATTGTTTAAGCTGCAGTAGATGAACAAAATATCCTGATATTATCCTAGAGTATTTGTTAATATAATCCATAGTAGACTATTCTGGATATTAATAATCAGAATCTCTATCTGTTAACAAGACTTAGATAAAGCACAGACAATATTGTAACTCACACTACTTCAGTGTGTGAATGAATTTTTGTAGCTAATAATTTTGAAATATGAGAGTTTCTCAGGAATGTATTTTTTCTAGTATGTTAAACAATCAAGAGCATGATTTTATAAAACCTAGCACCTGT